TCACCACCAAATCTTGGGCTTTGGATAGTTTTGTTAATTGTTTAAAAAAGGCCTCATCCACCTCTTCCACCTGGCTAGGTGGCCTGTAGTAGACTCCTAGCATGACATCACCCTCATTTTTTACCCCTTTTAGCTTAACCCAGAGACTCTCTACACAGCTATCTCCTACGTTCATCTCCACTTCAGTCCAAGTGTGTACATTTTTAATATACAAAGCAACCCCTCCTCCCTTTTTTCCCTGTCTGTCCTTCCTGAGCAAGCCGTACCATTCCATACCAACATTCCAATCATGCGTCCCATCCCACCAGGTTTCTGTAATACCAATGATATCATAGTTGTATTTATTTGTTAGCAATTTCCTATCTTTTGACTTGAGTACCTGACAATATTTTCAGGATCATTTAATGATCCTTAGTTTACTTTAATAGCAAATCTTTTACTATTTTAATCATCCTACTTCTGTTTATAAACAAACTCCCCACCTCTCCCCTCCACCCCCTGCCCTGTATATGCTGCTCCCAGCTGCTGAATTCATCACACATCAAACTCAGGTTATGTTGCAGTTAACAGCTATATCTGGAGTTAGAGTGAGTAGACACTGGTACTAAATTCTGGGAGGGCTACAGCCTCAATTTCTTCTACTCGATTTTTCAGTTGAGTTTGTGTTTATTTGAGATGATCAGAATCTGATCCCCACAAGAATACTTATTAGTAAGACCAAAGATTCTTCTGCAAATGGAGTTGCTTTGAATTTATCCTGGTTTAAGTGACTGACAGATTTGGAGCAGCCTGGAAATTCCTTAAAGACAGTGGGCCAAATCTTCAGCAGGTATAAACTGTCATTTACTCCAATGGTGTATGCCTATTTACACCAGCTGAGGATCTGGCTAGCCAAATCGCATACTGTTCTTAGTTAAAACTGGAATACTTTCATTGGATCAGATTGTGTTCTCAGTTACATTTGCATAAATCTGCAATCACTACATTAGACTGGATTATGCTCTCATTTCACAAAATCCTAGAATCCTAGGGCTGCAAGAGACCTCAGGAGGTCATCGAGTCCAGCCCCCTGCCCAAAGCAGCACCAACCCTAATTAAATCATCCCAGCCAGGGCTTTGTCAAGCTGGGACTTAAAAACCTCCCTTGATAACCCATCCCAGTGCTTCACCACCCTCCTAGAGAAATAGTTTTTTCTAATATCCAACCTAGACCTCTCCCACTGCAACTTGAGACCATTTCTCCCCATTCTGCCATCTATCACTAATGAGAACAGCCTCTCTCCATCATCTTTGAAATCTCTCTTCAGGTAGTTAAAGGCTATTATCAAATCCCCCCTCACTCTTCTCTTCTGCAAACTAAATAAGCCCAAATCCCTCAGCCTCTCCTCCATAGGTCATGTGCCCCAGCCCCCTAATCATTTTGGTTGCCCTCCACTGGACCCTCTCCAGTGCTTTACATCCTTTCTATAGTGGGAGAGGGAGCATAAATACTGCCAAATTAAGTGTAAAAATGTAATAAGAAAAGCCAAAAAGGAGTTTGAAGAACAGCTAGCCAAAAACTCAAATTATAATTGAGTTTTATTATTAATCAGGTAATAATAAAATGTTTTTTAAATACATCAGAAGCAGGAAGCCTGCTAAACAACCAGTGGGGCCCCTGGATGATCGAGATATAAAAGGAGCACTTAAAGATGATAAAGTCATTGCGGAGAAACTAAATGAATTCTTTACTTTAGTCTTCATGGCTGAGGGTGTTAGGGAGATTCCCAAACCTGACCCATCCTTTGTAGGTGACATATCTGAGGACTTGTCACAGACTGAAGTGTCAATAGAGTAGGTTTTGGAATTAATTGATAAACTTAACAGTAACAAGTCACTGGGACCGGATGGCATTCACCCAAGAGTACTGAAAGAACTCAAATGTGAAATTGCAGAACTATTAACTATGATTTGTAACCTATCCTTTAAATCAGCTTCTGTACCCAATGACTGGAAGATAGCTAATGTAACGCCAATATTTAAAAAGGGCTCTAGAGGCGATCCTGGTAACTACAGACGGGTAAGTCTAACATCAGTACCGGGCAAATTAGTTGAAACAATAGTAAAGAATAAAATTGTCAGACATGTAGAAGAACATAATTTGTTGGGCAAAAGTCAACATGGTTTCTGTAAAGGGAAATCATGTCTTATTAATCTATTAGAGTTCTTTGAAGAGGTCAACAAACATGTGGACAAGGGGGATCCAGTAGATATAGTGTACTTAGATTTCCAGAAAGCCTTTGAAAAGGTCCCTCATCAAAGGCTCTTACGTAAATTAAATTGTCATGGGATAAGAGGGAAGATCCTTTCATAGACTGAGAACTGGTTAAAAGACAGGAAACAAAGGGTAGGAATAAATGGTAAATTTTCAGAATGGAGAGGGGTAACTAGTGGTGTTCCCCAAGGGTCAGATCTAGGACCAATCCTATTCAACTTATTCATAAATGATCTGGAGAAAGGGGTAAATATTGAGGTGGCAAAGTTTGCAGATGATACTAAACTGGTAGTTAAGACCAAAGCAGATTGTGAAGAACTTCAGAAAGATCATAACAAAACTAAGTGATTGGGCAACAAAATGGCAAATGAAATGTAATGTGGATAAATGTAAAGTAATGCACATTGGAAAAAATAATCCCAACTATACATATATCCTGCAGCAAAAAAACTTCAGGACCAGACTTCAAAGAGAAACTGCTGAGCTACAGTTCATCTTTAAGTTTGACACAATCAACTCTGGATTAAACAAAGACTGTGAATGGCTTGCTAACTACAAAAGCAGCTTCTATTCTCTTGGAATTCACACCTCCAGATCAGCTGCTAGAAGTGGGCCTCATCCTCCTTGATTGGATCCACCTGGTCATCTCCAGCCTGATCCTGGCCTGCATATTTATTCCTGCCTCTGGAAATTTCCACTACATGCATCTGACGAAGTGGGTCTTTGCCCACGAAAGCTTATGCTCCTACACTTCAGTTAGTCTATAAGGTGCCACAGGACTCCTCGTCGCTTTTGCAGATTCAGACTAACACGGCTACCCCTCTGATAACTAATCAGGAAAGAGACCTTGGAGTCATCGTGGATAGTTCTCTGAAGATGTCTACGCAGTGTGCAGCGGCAGTCAAAAAAGCAAACAGGATGTTAGGAATCATTAAAAAAGGGATAGAGAATAAGACAGAGAATGTCTTATTGTCTTTATATAAATCCACGGTATGCCCACATCTTGAATACTGTGTATGGATGTGATCTCCTCATCTCAAAAAAGATATACTGACATTATTAAAGGTTCAGAGAAGGGCAACTAAAATGATTAGGGGTTTGGAATGAGTCCCATATGAGGAGAGATTAAAGACACTAGGGCTACATCTACATTGGTAGCTTCTTGTGGAAGAACAGCTGTTCTTCCACAAAAAATTGCTGGCTGTCTACACTGCATGAGCGTTCGTCCAGAAGTAAATTTACAGTATAGCGTTGTAAAACAGGGCTTCTTCCGGAAGAGTTATTCCTCTCCCCATGAGGAATAAGCCCTCTTGTGCAAGAGCTCTTCCAGAAGAGGGCAGTGTAGACAGGCAACGTGAATTTCTTGCTCAAGAAGTCCCTATGGTTAAAAGGACCATCAGAGCTTTCTTGCGGAAGAGAGTGTCTACACTGCCATAGATACTCTTGTGCAAAAGCACCTCTCTTGTGCAAAAGCACATGGCAGTGTAGATGCTCTCTTGTAGAAGAGTTTTTGCACAAAAACTCTTCCACAAAAGAGTTCTTGCAGAAGAAGCTGCCAGTGTAGACGTAGCCTAAGACTTCTCAGTTTGGAAAAGAGGAGACTAAGAGGGGGTATGATAGAGGTCTATAAAATCATGAGTAGCGTGGAGAAAGTGAATAAGGAAATTATATTTACTTATTCCCAAAATATAAGAACTGGGGGTTACCAAATGAAACTAATGGGCAGCACATTTAAAACAAATAAAAGGAAGTTCTTCTTCATACTGCACATAGTCAATCTGTGGAACTCCTTGCCTGAGGAGGTTGTGAAGGCTAGGACTATAACAAGGTTAAAAAGAGAACTAGATAAATTCATGGAACTTAAATCTATTAATGGCTTTTAGCCAGCATGGGTAAGGAATGGTGTCCCTAGCCTCTGTTTGTCAGAGGGTGGAAATAGATGGCAGGAGAGAGAGTGCTTGATCAATACCTGTTCAGTTTACTCCTTCTGGGACACCTGGCATTGGCCTCTGTCGGCAGACAGGATACTGGGCTGGGCAGACCTTTGGTCTGACCCAGTACGGTCATTCTTATGTTCTTCTGTGGCCTCACTAGTGCCAAATAAAGGGGAATAATCACTTCTATTGATCTGCTGGAAAAGCTTCCACCCTAATATGCCATTAGCCTTCTTGGCTACAAGGACACACTGATTACTCATATCCAACTTCTCATCAACTGTAACCCCCAGGTCCTTTTCTATAGAACTGCTGCTTAGCCAGTCAGTCCCCAGCCTGTGACAGTTCTTGGGATTCTTCCATCCCAAGTGCAGGACTCTGTACTTGTCCTTGTTGAATCCCATCAGATTTCTTTTGGCCCAATCCTCCAATTTGTCTAGGTCACTCTGGACCCTATCCCTGCCCTCCAGCGTATCTACCTCTCCCCCTTTAGTGTTATCTGCAAACTTGCTGCGGGTTCAATCCATCCCCTCATCCAGGTCATTAATAAAGATGTTGAACAAAACTGGCTCTAGAACTAATCCTTGGGGCAACCCACTTGAAAATGAACACCATCCAGACATCGAGCCATTGATCACTACCCATTGAGCCTGACAATCTAGCCTGCTTTGTATCCACCTTATAGTCCATTTATCCAAGCTATACTTCCTTAACTTGCTGGCAAGAATTATATGATACACCGTATCAAAAGCTTTGCTAAAGTCAAGATATATCACATCCACTGACTTCCCCACATCCACAGAAACAATTACCTCATCATAGAAGGCAATCAAGTTGTCCAGGCATGATTTTCTCTCGGTGAATCCATGTTGACTATTCCTGATCATTTTCCTCTCTTTCAAGTGCTTCAAAATGGATTTCTTGAGCATCCCCCCCATGATTTTTCCAGGGACAAAGGTGAGGCTGACCAGTCTGTAGTTCTTCTTCCCTTTTTTAAAGATGGGCACTACATTTGTCTTTTTCCAATCGTCCGGGACTTCTCCCGATCTCCATGAATTTTCAAAGATAATGGCCAGAGGATCTGAAATGACATCTGCCAACTCATTCAGCACCCTTGGATGCATTAAATTAAGCTCTGTGGATTTGTGTATGTCTAATTTTTTTCTAAATAGTTCTTAACCTGTTCTTTCTCCACCGAAGGCTGACCACATCCTTCCCATACTGCATTGGCTAGTGCAGTAGTCTGGGAGATGACCTTGTCTGTAAAGAGAGAGGCAAAAAAGCATTTTCCCACATCATCTGTCACAATGTTTCCTCCCCAATCCAGTAAGGTTCTCACGCCCTCCCTGATCACCCTCTTATCATATATATAGTAGCCCAATGTCTGTGACTCTGTAATGCTGAAACGCTGGCTGTTCCCTCTGGGCGGCACTGTTGCCTCCTGCTGTAGCGCTTTGCTGACTTCTGCACCGCTCAGCCAGGCCACCGTGTGGAAGCAAGCAGCGCAAGCGGCCATTTGGGGTCCGCGCTCCCCATGCAGCACCCCTGTGCTGCATGGGGAGCATGGGGCCCAAACAGCCGCTTGCAACTCTAGCTCCCACGCAGCGGCCTGGCTGAGTGGCGCAGAAGTCACCCGAATGCCATGGCAGGAGGCAAAGGGGAGCGGGGTGGTGATGTGCGGCGTGACAGCAGCTCCAGGCCCTGTCCCCTGGCTGTGAACAGACCCTGGACAGGGGGAAGGGCAGGGGTACGAGGAGGAGGGGGAAGTGGAGGACAACTGGGAGGCTGCAGGATCAGTGCTGGGGTGAAGGGAAACAGTTCAGGGGGGCAGCTGGAGCTCATAGGCAACCACTCAGCCAGGCTGAGGAGGAGGAGGAGTAGAGAAGAGAAAAAAGTAAGAGGTAGGAGGGGGAGAAGAGAAAGAGAGACGGAGAGAAAGGCAGGAAACGGAGCAGAGCTGAGGGGGGGGAGGCAGTAGGAAGAGGGGAGAGAGAGAGAGACAGAGCGAGACACCAGAGGCTCAGGAGAGAAGACTGAAATAGAAAGGGAATAGGACGTGGAGGAGAGACCTGAAAATCCCGTTTTATGACGGGCTAATTGGCTATTTGCTAATATACGTGTAGAAACCTTTCTTGCTACCCTTCACATCCCTTGCTAGCTGCAATTCCAATTGCACTTTCACCTTCTTGATCACTCCCCTGCATTCTCGAACAATATATTTTTACTCTTCCCTAGTCATCTGTCCCAGTTTCCAATTCAGGTAAACTTCCTTTTTGTGTTTAAGCTCGCCAAGAATTTCACTGCTAAGCCAAGCTAATTGCCTACCATATTTGCTTTTCTTATGTTGCATTAGGATGGTTTGTTCTTGTTCCTTCAATAAGGCTTCTTTAAAATACCGCCAGTTATGCTGAATTCCTTTTCCCTTTGGCTGCATCTAGACTGGCATGATTTCGCGCAAATACTTTTAACGGAAAGTTTTTCCTAGACTGGCATGTGCCTTTGCGCAAAAGATTTGCTTTTGCACAAAAGCATCCGTGCCAGTGTAGCCATCGGGCTTTCTTGCACAAGAAATTAATGTTCCTGTCTACACTGGCCTTCTTGCACAAGTATTCTTGCGCAAGAAGGCTTATGCCTGAGCGGGAGCATCAAAGTATTTGCACAAGAAGCACTAATTTTGTACATTACAAAGTCAGTGTTATTGCACAAATTCTCGCAGCCAGTGTAGACAGGTGGCAAGTTTTTGCGCGCAAAATCTTGCCAGTCTAGACGCACCCTTTATGTTAGCATCCCAGGGGATCCTGCCTATCAGTCCCCTGAGAGAATCAAAATCTGCTTTTCTGAAGTCCAGGGTCTGTATTTTGCTGCTCTCCTTTTTTCCTTTCATAAGGACCGTGAAACTGACCATCTCATGAGTCATAATCACTGCTTACCAGGTTGCCACCCACATCTACTTCCCCTGCTATTCCTCCCTGTTTGTGAGACTGTCAGTACTAGTACCAGGAAGTTAGCCTCAACATTCTCCAAAAACTTCCTGGATTGTCTGTGTACTTCTGTATTTATCTCTCAACAAACGTCAGGGTGACTGAAGTCCCTCATGAAAACCAGGACCTGTGATCTAGAAGCTTCTCTTAGTTGTCTGAAGAAATCCTCATCTACCTCATCCTCCTGATTTGGTGGATGATTGGTGGTCTATAGCAGGCCCCAACCACAACAAAACCTCTATTGCTCCTGACTCTAAGCTTAATCTAAAGATTCTCAACAGGCTTTTCTCATTTACATCATGGATTTCGGGGAAATTATTGTAGCTGTGCAAGCCAGCGCTGGCTCTCCATCCACATGGGGGGCACAGGCATCTGGCTGCGGAGGGGGGGGAGGAGCCCTGAGCCTTGTGGGCCCAATCAAGGCAAGATGTGGGCCAAATATTGCCCACAGGTTCTGTGTGCTACAGGGAAGCATTCCTAGAAGGCATCGTCCCCCGTTGCTCCCATTGGTTGGAAATCATGGCCAATAGGTGAAGCGAGGGGCGGTTCCTACAGGAAGTACTTCCCTGCAGCACGCAGAGACAGGCAAAGATACCTGTGCACTCCCCTAGGAGCTGAACCAGTTAGGTGACATAATCCCCAACCCCAACCTTCACCCCTTTCCTACCCAGAGCCCACACCTCCAATCCACTTCTGCACCCCTGCAGAGGCACTGAACCCCTCTCCCACCCTCCTTCCTGCCTTCCAGACACCACATCCCCATCCTTATCCCGCTCCTGCACCCTCCATCCCATCCAGATCTCACCCCCCATCCTGAGCCTTCTCCTGCCCTGCATCCTGCCCTGCCTCCCCAACCCCACTCCCTATCCCCTGCCCACTCCTGCTATAGACAAAGGACAATAAACTTAAAAAAATTATTCCAATGACCTAATTCTGGTCTCACATCAGTGTGAACAATGAGTAATTGCATGTCTGCTAATGGACTCCTATGGTAGTAAGAAAAATCAGAAGTAAGACTGATGATTTTGCTAGTCTGAAGCTTTTTATATTTGTATACCAGGAGTTTCTCCCTTCCTGCTGTTGTAAATATGATTTGGGAAATACTTGGAAAAGGTGCTTTTAAATATTTATGAATTTATGCTAGATACTTCCAGGAAATGGCTTCACGCCTGCAACACAATGTCCAGAAAGGGCACTGCACCATCTACTGGCTAAAGCCAGTTTCTTAGAAGGAAACTATTCAAACAAGTTAGGGGGCAACGATTCTTCTGTTTAAATGTCTCTATTCACATTGTTTTTCTGGAGCAATTCTAAAAAGCCAAGGTGTATAAGGAGACAGTCTTTAAATAAAGCATTTGGGACTAATATATTCCCTATGTAATTCCACTGGTGTGAATTTGGCTCTTTGGATTTATAAAAAGATAGGTTTTCTGACATTGATTTCAGTGATACTGGTGTAAATCTGGAGCATCATCACCAGTTTAGTTATCACAGGCGTCAATGAGATCAGAATCTCATCCAGAACTATAGGGCTATGTCTACACTTCCAAAGAGTATAGCTTATTGCGCAAGTATGGCCACACTTCCCGCCCGCTCTTGCACATGGAAATTTACAGTACGGCATGGTAAGAGAGGGCTTCTTGCGCAAGAGCTACACTCTTTGGGTATGTCTACACTACAAAGTTAATTCGAACTAACAGACGTTAGTTCGAATTAACTTTGATAGGCGCTACACATACAAACCGCTAGTTCAAACTACCTAGTTCGTGCCCCGTGTAGCCGCGCTGCACGGGGTTCAAACCAGCGGGGTTTTAAAAATGGCGGCTCCCCGCTTATGCAAATGAAGCCCGGGAAATTCAAATCCTGGGCTTCATTTGCAAGTGCGGTATGCCTACATTACCCTCCTAGTTCGAACTAGGAGGGTAGTGTAGACATACCCAAACAGAGTTTAAAGAGAAGTTAGATAATTTCCTGGAGGTTAGGTCCATAAAAGGCTATTAGCCGGGGGATAGAATTGGTGTCCCTGGCCTCTGTTTGTCAGAGGCTGGAGAGGGATGGCAGGAGACAAATCGCTTGATCATTGTCTTCGGTCTACCCTCTCTGGGGCACCTGGTGCTGGCCACTGTCGGCAGAGAGGATACTGGGCTAGATGGACCTTTGGTCTGACCCAGTACGGCTGTTCTTATGTTCTTATGTTCTTATTGTGACTCAAGCCTGACCTGGAGGATCCAACTTCTGGGAATATGACAGCAATTCAATTTCTGTGGCCTATTCAGTTCTAGGTCTCTCTGCAAGGTCGACACCAGTAGGGCCAATTAGTGACAAGTGTAAGGATGGCGGTGGATACATGTCCTGGAGGACCTAGAGGGAACTGGATTGAGACTCTAGCTCATTTCCAATTACAGTCAAGCAGCTTTTAGATATGGACAACTTTATTGCAGCAATCTAGGCTGAATGTTACTAAGATATTTGTATTATCATTCTGATGAGAACAATATACAAGTCTATATAAATCAAACAGAATATGGAATTTTTCAGTTCTATAACAATCCCTTACAACAACCATCATTTTATCATGATAGATTATTATATACTAGCAGAAGTACCCGGCGTCACCCGGGAAAATATAGTAAAATGTGTAATGAATGAAGTACAGCAATGACATTAACATAGCGTATTTTATTGGAAATACTTTTCTCTTATATATTACTTTAAGAAATTAACATAGCTAGTGATGTGCTTACGAAACGACAAATCCCATAGGGTCTCTCTTCTCAATCCCCACAAATCAGGAAGGCCCATCTTCCCTTAAAGACTCTATGCAAACCAATACCTGCAGCCTCCTTGCCAGAAGCCCTGAGAAATGGAGGGGCTGTCTCTTGGGCACTCCCTGAGTGCCTTCAGTGCAACCTGAATGGACTTCCTAGCAGCAGCTGGACCAG